CCCCCCCAGGGGGGATGGTCATGCCACAATCTCTTCTCCTACATTCTCCTATCAGGATCTTGGGCACGCACACACGCACACGCGCCCGGCGTGAGTTCTAAGCCACTGGGTCCGGGACGCAAACCGCAATCAACTACGTGGGAGTCCAGCGACATAGCCATTACGCTAACTGCTGGTTCCCTGTATATAGTATTCTTGGTTGAGATGGTTTCTCTTTCAATGTTTTGAACACATCTTCCCATTCTTTCCTTGCCTGCATCCTTTCAGTTGTAAGGTCTGACATTAGTCCTTTCAGCTGTAAGGATAGCTTGTATAAGTAACTTGACATTTCTCCCTTGCCATTTTTAAAATATTTTCGTTGTCTTTTACGTTTACATCTGGTTATGATGTGCCAAGAGGAGGATCTTTTTATGTTGACTCTATTTGGGGTCCTTTTTATTTCTTGGGTCTGAATTTCTCTATGTTTCTGTATACTTGGAAAATTTGCAGGTAGTATTTCATGAAAGATGTTTACCATGCCTTTAGCAGATTCTTTATCTTCTGGAATACCCATTATATGGATATTTGGATGTTTCATGATGTCTAGAATTTCACATGCCATCTTCATTTTTTTGTCGTTTTTTTCTTTCTTTTCAGTTATTTGGTCTATGTTGAAAACTTTGTTTTCCAAGTCAGAAATTCTTTTTCTGTATGGTTCAATCTGCTGTTAATGCTTTCTATGGAGACTTTAATTTCTTGTATTGTATTCTTCATTTCCAAAAGTTCTGTTTGATTCTTTTTTAGGCTATTTTTTTTTTTACATAATTCCTCTTTTATGTCCTGAAATAATTTTTCTCATTTCCTAGGAATGATTGTCTGTTTTCTCTTGCAACTCATTGAGTTTTGTCACTACAAATATTCAGAATTCTTTTTCTGACATTTCTGTGTATTTCTCTGTGCTATCCACTGTTGGTGAGGGATTACTATGCTTCCCTGGGGGAGAGTTACCACCTTGTTTTCTTATGTTTCTTCAAGATCTGTGCTGGTTTCTAGTCATCCAATGCAGTATTCATTTTTTTTCTATTTTTATCTAGTGAATCCTGTAGTACTGGTGGAGGAAATTTCACCTTTAGTTCCCAGTTGTGTTCCTTCTGGAGGGCTCTGTCTCCCAGGTCAAAGCAATTAGGGGTACCTTCAGGTGCTTAGCTACTCTGCCAAATGTTCAGCTCTTGATGAAGTGGTAGCAAGCTAAGGAGATATAGCTTAGTGAAGAGGGTCAAGTTGCCTGCTTTGTGCTGCACACAGGTTGGTGTACCAAAAGTTCCAACATAGCTCCCAAGTCCTGAGGTCACCCAAGGAGGCCTACCCAGACCAGGCTTAAATATCCTGGTAGGCAGTAGGTGGAGCAAGCCCAGGTTGCCAGAGCAGTGGGCAACAGTGTGCAGAAAATCTCAAAGTTTCTCCCAAGCCCTAAGAGCAGGATTACCCCATTTTGTGTTTCTTATATGGTTTCCTACTCCCTTTTGATTCTGTCCCTCTCACCCTTTGTCATTTCACGGGCAAAGAACAGAATTTTTAAAATGTGGATATGAGGCAGGTAAGAAGGGGCACTAGTAGGGTACCAACTACAAGACAAATGTCAGGTTTCTTGAACAAAGAATAAAAATTAAGGATGAGTTTCTTCACATATCAACCAACGGCAATGTATGCATGTCAATTAGACCCAGATGCAAACAACCTTAGTGAAATATTTATGAGACGTTATGAGACATGTGGAAATCTGAATGTTTGATTATATTAAAGAATGTATGTTAATGCTGTTAAGGGCGATAATGTTATCATGGTTATATTATTTTATGAGTTCTTATCTTTTAGGAAAACTTATAAAATATTTATGAGTGAAATGATATGACATCTGGGATTGGCTTTAATACAATCTGAAGGGGTGGGAGGAATAGAAATAAAGCAAGATAATGAGTTGATTGTTGAGTTGGGGGTGGATACAGAGATGTCCACTACACTCTTATCTCTTTTGTTTGCTTGACAATTTCCATAATAACTAAGCTTTTTAAGAGCCGCCTCCCTTGAGACTAATAGCAACACCTTTCTTTCCTTACAAATAAGCAGTTTTTGCCTTAAATAGTAGTTTTCCCTGACACCAAAGGAAAGATAAACAAATAAGAGCTATTTACATTTAAAAATAAATAGTTTTTCCCCAAGTACACTCAAATAAGGACATTTTTGCATGTAGATCAAATGTACAATTAACCAGAACATAGTAAGGGTAACAAGTAAATTGAGCAGCAGCATCAGAATGCAAAAATAATTTGATCTTTTGGAGCCTAAACCAAAGAAATATTTAATAGGGATTAACACAAAACCTTACATGTGTATTCAAACAAAACAGCTGTCCCATTCAGCATGGGAGACATGGTTTCATAATGGCTTGTGTAAAATGGCACCAGCTCAGGGTGAGTCAGCAGTAGAAAGGGGTTGCCAAAATCACCTGCAAGGTTGAAAGATACACAAAGTAAAGACTTGTGCCAATCTTTCTCGAGCTAGTCAGACCTCACCTGGAGGGTTAGATTCTATGCCAGAGGATGTCTATTGAAGAGCACCCAGAGGGCAGGGAGTGCCCCAAAGCAGAGAAGTGGAAGTGTTCCACCTGGGAAAGGAATATGATAAAGGGAAAAGCTGTTCTCAACCGTCTAGAGACTCATAGCCACAGAGAGAAACCAGTACATGGAATTTAAAAGGTAGGATTTGGCTTAACAACCCTCCTGAGAGAGGAGTTACCCACCAAAAGAGAGCAGGCTACCGCTACAGATGATATTTTAGAGAGGATGTAAGTATCTAGATGAGGATTTATTTTAATGACTTCTGAAGTCATTTCTAGCCTTAAGAATCTAATTCCTCAAAAATTCAACAGTGGTAAGCATAGAAACACTGATGGTACTGTCTCCCATTCATTAGTACTTATCTTGCTATAGGACTTGTGCCATGTACTAGCATGTATTTTATCATTTCATCAGTCCATCAGTCAACAAGTGCTTACTGAGTGCATATTTTCTGCCCATTCTTGTGTAACACACATTTTATGACATAATTCCTTTCCTTAAAAAGTTTATTATAGAGTTACTAATCAAAATTTGCATACATGAAGGAAAATACCAATATGAATATCTCACATAAAGCATTTTCTTCATGTGTACCTTGAAACACTCCTACAAAGAAGATAAAATTTTCATTACCACAGTAATAAGTAATAGCTCATTTTCTAAATTGTTCTCTTCCTCTGGGAAGTACCTGGTTTGTAGTGTTGCTCAGCATGAACCTAGTCTCAAACAAGAGAAGACTAACTTCATTTTAATTTTCTTTATTTTTGTACCCCTCCCATTCCAATAATAAGGAAGTTAACTTAAAAATAATAATCCATGGGGGCCAGAAGGTGGAGTAGTGGTTGAGTAGTGGTAATGTGGTCGACCATGCTTGAGTCCCAGACCCAGTGGTGTGAAACTCACGCCAGGCGCATGTGCATGCATGCCCAAAATCCCAAGAGGAGAATGGAGGAGAAGGGATTGTGACATGGCCATATCCCCGGAGGGGTGATGTCTTGCTTTCTGTCTCTCTCACTCTCTGGTGAGTGCACGCACCCTATAGCAAAAATCTCTCAAAATAATGATAATAATAATGCATGTTTGAAAAGAGCAAATAGTCTGATCACCAATGACAAATACACCACCAGGAGAAAAAGCAAAGAATTGCTAACATATATAAGTTTATTACCTATAAAGACTTTGAGAGAAAGACCAACTTTTTGGACTTCATTTTATGGAGAACACAGTAAGATGGAAAAGTCTGGGATTATTTTAAAGTTGGACTTTGGACCAAATGTTTACTTTATTTTAGACAAGAAATCTATGAATACAAATGCAAATAATCAAGGCTGAAGCATGTACTGGGAGAAGTTGAATTAGAAGGAAAAGATTAATTAAATTAAAATAATAACACTTTTTTTAAAAAGGGAAGAGATGTTTAGTGTCAGCTTCTTGAACATAGTTGTGGGTTTCAGTACCAAGGACAGAGCTGTGCTTCATGGATGGGATGTAAGGACCCAAGAAGAGTCTCTGGATAAAGTATGCCCTGCCATCAAAGACCTGAAACAGCTCCCCTATACACATACACTATCACAAAGAAGCAAAACTACAAAATATTTTTAGCATAGCAGGGAAGTTATAAGCATGGATTCCAGGGCCCAACTACCCAGGTTCAAAGCTTAGCTCAACCACTCACTAACTGTACCAGTGGCACAATACAACCTTTACCTCTCCTTGCCTACTTCCCCTCATCTGTAAAATAAGATGATCATACCCACTTTGTAGTATCACCGTGGTGATTGAGTTATACATGAATGTGAGACAATTTCTTGGCATGTAGTAATTGCTAAATAAGTCTTTGCTTCTTTCATTGGTCTTCCATAGCCTTGAGATCTCAGGATGTTGGAGAAAGGGATGTGGAATGTTGAAGGTAAATTTTTGCTGAGGAGAAGGGTAGCTGTACTTAAACCATAAGGAATGGAAGTAAACAGGCAGCTTTTACCATGCCCTCCCACCAACCTGGCCCAAAGACCCCAAGTGAAGAAGTGAGAAAGGCCCTGAGGTGGCCCAGGCTGGCACTGAGGTCAATGAGTTGGCTGTCACCTAGCCATTTGGAACTCTTGCAAGGACTCCTAAGGCTTGTATGAGAAGCACGCCAGCTTATATGAGAAGCATGGTGTGTTCTGCCCTGCAGTGGATCCAGAAAGAGTAAAGTGTATCACAGGAATTGGGCAGATTGTAGAGTATAACCCGGTTTTGCTTAGCCCCAAAGACCCCCTCAGCACCCTCGTTCTCTTTCCATATCTCACTCATTCCACATACACACCTATTAAAATCACTTTCTCCAGACTTTTTGTCACTTTCTGATTCAGAAAAAACATAGGTTTCTATTGTTCTACAAAATTTAGAGCCAAAAATGCAGCAGAACATATTTCAGTTTAATGAAGAAAACAAAGCCAAGAGGAGGCAAGGCAGAGTTTATGTACAGAGAAACATAAAGGCAGTAGTGGAGTTAGTGGTGTTCTCAGGAACAAACCCCTAACTTGACAATGTCTTTTGGAGACTCATCTTGGCTTGGCTTCAAGACTCCAAAGGGATGAGATTATGGTGTCACTAACCCCAAAGAAATAGGAGCTCTTACAGAGGTGTGGCTAAGGGCAGGGGGTTTCTGCAATCATGCATCAGATCCTAGGCTCAGTATTTGATGTGAGAGTGCTGGCCACTGGTGGTGGTGGTCTGCACAATCCTGGCTGAGGAGGAGGAGGAGGAGCCACTGTGTCTGGGACTCTGATCCATGGAAGAGTTCATGCTTCTGGATTGGATGCCCTTCCCAACAGTCGAGGACTTGCTACCACCTTGGGCACTCTGGTCACCATCTCTGCTGCCCCGGCCACCACCGCTGCTGCTGCCCCCAGCACTAAGGTTCTTGCTGCTGGAAGTGTGATTGACCACGCCTGCAAAGAGAATGGGTGGCTGAGTCCCACCCAATCTGCCTAAATGCCCACTGCATTCCAATCCCAATCTGAGGAACGAACGATGGAGGAGATCCAAAATAAGGAGCGCTCACCCTTATATGGGAGCTCCTTTTCTGAGGGAGGCCCAGGACATGCATGGATGGGCTAGCAGATAAATCTCACCCAAATATGATTTATGTGACCCTCCCTTGTGCCTCTGCCTTTGTATCATCCTGGAGATGAGGGTGTACAAAAGGCCACTTGTGGATAAGCAAGCTGGTACAAAATCAGAAATTCTTTAGGATGGTAGAAAAGGTATTCACAGAATACTCACAGATGCATACTGGGCTCTGGCACTCCCCCGACATCCTGTTCAGAAACACAAAAGAAAGAACATGGAAAGCTCATGATGAAATTATCCAGGCAGGACAATCTCTTTTGAGTATTAGTCCCTGGGATGCCAGAATACAATGATATGAGTCACAGGATCAGAGATCGAGGTTAGAAATGAAAAGTGGGTTCCCTACAAGTCTAGAATGGGCTGTAGAGAATACAAATACAAATACAATATTTCTCTAAAGCCTGGGATCTGCCATCACCTTGGCCTTGATTACTTCATCGGCAAAACTGCGATAATATACCTCTTTATCAGTTCACGGTGAAGAGTAAACTGAGCCCAGCATAGTGTCTGTCTCATACTATTAAAGACATGGCTCTTATCTGCATCATCCTTTCTGGGCCTATGGACACCATCCATACCCAGGTGCCTTTTCCAGACCACTGTACAGGCTCCAACTATTCAGTGTCAACATTAACGAGGAAGGGGAGGTGAGGAAGTTACTGGTTCAGAGAAAAATGTAACCTTCAATTGGAGTGCAGCGACAGCAGGCTACTAAGACCGCCTAGCACTCATCATTGTTAGGAAGCTCTAAGTGTCATGTTCTAGCAAATACAGGAAGGCTGGTATCCCTAAGCCCAAGGGGAGAGTGCTGGGCAGTACAGTTCATTAATAAAATATTCACGGAGACCCTCCTTTGTCCTCTTCCATTGTGTTAGAGCCTGGGTATGCCAAGGGGAAGCAAAGGTAGAGACAGAGTTACTGTAACACAGTAGGACTAACCAAAGACCACACAGGCCTGTGAAACTTGGTTCTCAAGTCAGATCCCTTGCCTTGGCCAGAATGCCCACCCACCTGCACTCCTCGCCCTCCAGCATCTTCTGGTAGGTGGCAATCTCCACATCCAATGCCAGCTTGATGTTCATCAGCTCCTGGTAGTCACACAGGAGATGGGCCAGGTCCTCCTTGGCCTGCTGCAGGGCCTCTCTGAGCTCTGTCAATCTGGTCTGGGCATCTTTTAGGGTCAGTTCACCCTGCTTCTCAGTGTCAGCAATTGCCATCTGCACTTTGGCATTCTGAAGCGGGAAGAAGAAGATGTGGGCTGAGTCTCTGGATCCTAATATGTATACAACATGTGACCATAGGCCTCCTTAATGAAAATTTCTAACCTATGTGCTCTATGGCTGACCATGCTATCTTCTTCCCCCATAGCATTCACATCAAGTAACTAAATCATGATGGGAAATTCCAGTAGCCATTTGAGCCCTTGCCCAGAGATAGTCGTCAACTGCTTCCTAATCACTTGAGGAAGGATAATCCATGGTTTCACATTCCAGAAACTCAGCCCCACACAGTTCATAGGGTCTTGGGGGCCATACCCACTGGACTGAGAGATAATTACACCCTGAAGAAAAGGGATGGAAGTAAAAGTAACACGAAGCCATTGCTCTGTGTGATATCGCTTGCGAAGCCCCATTGCTAAAGCTGCCATCCAGGAGCCTAAGAGTCGCCCCACCTGCTAAAACCAGGTGCCTTGATGGCACTGTGGAGCACCACTGTCATCAAAGTTATAATCCTGGAGGTTGGAGAGATTCCCCCACCTGCTTTTTGGCACTCTCGATCTCTGCCTGCAGCCTCTGGATCATCCTGTTGAGTTGTGCAATCTCATTCTTGGTGCTCCTCAGGTCATCACCATGCCTGCTGGCTGTGGTCTGCAGCTCCCCAAGCTAGAATTGGGAGGAGGGGAAGAGTGAGCAGGTAGGGAAGGATTATCCCTGACCTTCAAATACACTATTTCTCTATAAAAATAGAAATAGGGCTGTAATCAGTCTAGAAAGCCCTAATGTTGGGGCCAGCAGGTGGCATGGTGGTTAAGGTGCTGGCCTCCCACATGGCCAACCGTGGTTCAAGTCCTGGATCCAGTGGCTTGCTTTCTCACTTTCTCTTTCTCATGAGTGCATGTACCTTATAGCAAATTAAAATAATAATAAATTAAATTAAATAAGTCATTTTTAAAAAAGAAATTTCTAATGTCATACAAAGCCCACCAGACATTTTGATGGAAAAAAATCACTTAGCTGAAACTCACAGTTGTCTTTAAAGATATCATATAGTAAAATGAAAAGCATTAGAAAGATTGCACGTAATGGAAATTTGTGAAAGAAATTTCAGTGGGTTTCATACTGAATAAAACTGTCCTCTCTGGTATGCTGCCAGCAAGTGCTGCAGGTAAAGAGGCAGAGCCCTGGGAGAGGCTCATGGAGTCTGGCTGATGCAGCAGGCTTTACGTACCTTGTTCTGGTACAGAGCCTGAGACTCAGCTTTGCTCTTCTGAGCGATCTTCTCGTACTGGGCCTTGGCCTCCGTGATGATACTGTCCAGGTTCAAGTGCCGGTTATTGTCCATGCACAGGACTACAGACGTATCACTGGATTCCGACAGGACCTGGTCATACTCCTGCAGACACACAGGGGCACACCACTGAACAGCTGTCACCATCTCTCTAGTATGATCTGAACCTCCCCCATGGCCTTGGGAATATTATGAGGCCTAGAAACGAAATCTTAATGAAAAGAAAGGAAGGTAACAAGACAGTGAACCAGAGACACCAGGCATCAGGAGACAGGCTAGCAGGCCTATGGTGACCCATAACTCTCCTATCAGTCCCTCTTCCTACCTTTCCCGTGGGATGATATGGACATAGGGATTCTAAAGGCATGAGCTGCAGAAGCTACATACCCTGAGCCTTGGGAAAGAGACAGGGAGAAGGTAAGCTATAGGAGGCGTATATACAGAACAGGAAAAAGGAAGAATAAGGATAGAGATGGGAAAAACTTTGCCACCACTGGCTGGCAAATAGATTTCAGGAAGGAAGCGGAATTCTTGGGACCAGCAGTTAGCGTAATGGCTATGTCGCTGGACTCCCATGTAGCCGACCACGGTTCGAGTCCCAGACCCAGTGGCTTAAAACTCACACCAGGCGCGTGTGCCTGCGTGCCCAAGATCCCGAGAGGAGAATGGAGGAGAAGGGATTGTGGCATGGCCATCCCCCCTGGGGGGTGATTTCTCACTTTCTGTCTCTCTGCCTCTCTCTGTCTTTCTGGCAAGTGCATGTGCCCTATAGCAAAAACCTCTCAAAAAAAAAGAAAAGAAAAAAGAAAAGAAAGCAGAATTCTCAGAATCAAGCAAGATTTGACACCCTTTGTTGTGGCTTCTGACTTCTGCCCTTGAGGAAAGACTAAAGGTCCTTACTGCTTCATAGAGGGCTCTCAGGAAGTTGACCTCACTGGCCAGACTCTCCATTTTGATGTCCAAGTCCACCTTGGTCACGTAGGAAGCATCCACATCCTGAGAGTAAGGAACAGAGACTCAGCCTTATCACCTTCAATGTTGTCCTCACTTAATAATATTGATAGCGTGTTTACCTAGCTAAGGGAGCCAAATTCACTTTAGCCAGACAGTACACTTGCAGTAGAGAGAGATTTAACGATCGAGCTCAGCATTAGAGAAGGTATGTTATTGTCAATTTCTATAACTTGGATGGCTATAATGGTATTTATCCATTGTTTGACAGTGAACTCATGTAACAGAGGGCTCAAAACAGCTTCACAACTGACAAACCAAATGCATTTGGGAGGTATCTTAGCTACAGAAAGAAAACCCTTGAGTCCAAGTTTCAGTATTGAGGCTGGCACTTTCTGGCCATCCGTAATAGCACAACCCTGGGAATTCCACGCAGGAGAAAGTGTTGTCCATCCCCCACGTTCCTGAGAAGGAGTGGAGAAGGTGCTATCACTCCCCGCTTTCCTTGCTCTGCCTCCTCCCTGCAGAACTCCACTGCCCTGCTCACCTTCTTCAGAACCATGAAGTCATTCTCAGCCTCTGAGCGCTTGTTAAATTCATCCTCGTACCTACAAAGAGGGAGAAAGGGCGTGCTCAGAGGGTAGCTGAGCCAACAGTATGTGCACAGGTCCGCAAAGAACAGCATTTACACACAAGGTGGTGGTTAACCTAGGCAGGGGTGCAGGTGAATATTTCCTGGATAAGACCAGCCTAAGGCCAGTGGGAGGCAGGGGTTATTAGAAAAGTAAGGCCTTTAAGAGCACAGGGATCCCCATTTCCAACACAGTAGGGTATTGGAAATAAAAGGAGATGAAGCACATAATAAACTTGCATGTAGCCTCTGGACTCCATAGGGAGCACATGCATGCAGGTTGCTCTGGATTCCCAACCTCTGGAGAATCACCCAAGTCTTCATGAGCCAATACCTGTGTTCACTCCCAAGCTCATCTTACCCTTCATCTGCCCCCCAATGCTCCCACTGCCCTCTGCTCCATCCTGGCTATGCATCCTGGCCCCCACATCAGATGAGGAATAGGGGTCCTTCCCATCTCAACCTCCCCTTGCAGCTCCCTCACCACTCAAGGCAAACACATTTTCTACCTGGTCCTCACCCTCAGCTACACATTGGAAACACCTAACTCTATGAAAGGCACCGATGCTCAGCTCCCACACCCAGAAATCCTGATGTAGGTCCTGAGTACAACCTGGAAATGAGAGTGTGTAAAGTTCCCGAAGTTATTTCAGAAAACACCTCAGCACAAGACCCTTTGCTGTTAAATGATGGAGGTGCCCAAACATTTGCCTCTGACGACAGAAGATGCCCATCTCGGAGACATACGCCTCATTCTCCTAAGCACCAAGAACAACTACCAACAGAGTGCAGAACCTCCTTTCATCGGAGCCCCCTGCTAATACCACGTTCTGTGGCCCTCAGACGTAGGTACCTTGAGGACATGCCCCAAAATTTCCTCTTACAAAGTTCACAACCACCTGACCCACAACACCATAGCCTGGGAACCAGCAGCTGCCCCCGCCCAGACTCCTCCGCTACTCACCTCCTCTTGTACTCCTCCACCAGCCCCTGCATCGTGCCCAGCTCCCCGTCCAGCCGGCCCCGCTCTGCCACCAGCCTGTCCAGGTGGGCCTGCAGGCAGCCGCTGCTCCAGGAACCGCACCTGTGAGCATCCACCCAGGAGAGGTCATGGTCTGCCCAGATCCAGCTGGAGAGCGAGCCTGCCTCCCCTACAGCCCCACCAAACCCAGGCCTCCCTGTTCCCAGGCCCCAGTCACTGCAGCTCTCACGGCCACCACCTCCCCCAACCACAGACGCTCGCCTTGTCGATGAAGGAGGCAAATTTGTTGTTGAGGCTCTTGATCTGCTCCTTCTCCTGCGTCTTCAGCTCCCCAATCTGGGGGTCAATCCCCATGTTCAGGGGTTGCAGGAGGCTCTGGTTGATGGTCACCTCCTGGATGCCAAGGGGAAAGCCCCCAGAGCATCCAAAGCCCCCGGCCCCACCGGGAACTCCTCCAAAGCCACCAGGTCTCCCTCCAACATGGAAGGAGCCTCCCCCAAAGCCGCTTCTCTGGCCCCTTCCTCCAGCCCAGCCCAAGCTCCCTCCAAAGGCACCAGAGCACCCCCGTGCTGAGCCCCCTGCCTGGGCGGCACCTCCAGCCACACTCAGTGAGATCTTCTTGCTCCCCCCAAGGCTGTACATGCTCCTGCTGCCAAAGGCACCCCCAATCATGGCACAGGCCGTGGCCGCACTGCTTGCCCCAGAGCGTGAGCCCGACTGGGACCTGGTGGAGCTGGCACAGCCCTGACCAGACACCACGACGGCAGAGAGGCCACTGGAGCTCTTGGTGGCCTGGGAGGCCCTGCCGGATTGCTGGCTCATCATGGTCTCTGGATGCAGGAAGATGTGCGAGATCAGAAAGCTGTGAGGAAAGGGCACCTTCTGACACCGGGAGAGGGGAGGCCCCTTTTATGAGTGCCGGTGACTTGGGTCATTAATTTGATGATTTCCTGGGATTCGTTTTCTGGTTCAAACTAATCCCCACATCAGTTTCTTGCAATGTAATCATAGAGTCCATTTCAGGTCTTCCCTCTGATCAGCCTCCTGCAGACTGTGAGCAGGAGTGGATTCAGGCCCTCCCTGATAAATGAGCGTGGTTCCTGCCATTTTTTTTTAGGAAGGCCCGCCCCAGCCCTGAGCACTGGCTTCTCAGGAAGCGGCAAGTCCAATTAGGTGACTCTGTAGTTTTTTCATTCCCCAAAACCATGGGCATCCACTCCTGTCATTCTGCCACTCACCTCCCAGAACGAATGAGGCTTGCCCAGGAATCCGGAAAACGTTTAGGACTCAGTGGAATACTGGCTTCTCCTAATCGTAACATCTCAAGCCTCACAGAGTGGTTGTCCCTGGAACTCTCCAGAGAGCCAGAGATGCTCCATCCTGGGTCTGCACTTCTGCTCTACCTGGGGAGAGGAGGGGAGGGGAGGGGAAGGAAGGGGAAGAGAGGGGAGGGGAGGGTATGGCCAGGAAGGAAGGCCCAGGCAGCCCAGAAGTCTGCATGCATGGACGATACTTGAGGACACCCATCTGAGGGTGACCAAGAGCTCCCAACATCCTCTCTGGCACCCTGTGGCTCCCTGAGTGGTTTCATTGCTCCTCTTTGGATTGCTGTCCAGGGACTCTCAAGTCTCTGTCTCACATTCTAGGCTCGATCTCTTCCCCTTGTCCTTCAGTCTTCTTTTCAAGCCCCTATAGATTCTGCTGCCTTCTTGCCCTCCCTGTTTCTCCCCTACAGTGAGGACTGCAGCTCTTCCCCACGACCCCAACAATAGGCAACATGAGGGCATGGCCATGTTCGTCTGGGTCACCAGTGTTCCCCAACATCTAGAGCAGTGCCTGGCCCTGACTGTGGGGTGACTGTCCAGCATCACTCTTTCTGGGTTGTCCCTGTGTGTGGGCACCTGTGTGTCTACTTCCATCATTACACTGGGTAGGGGAAGTCCCAAATGCAGACAGTCTTCCTACCCCAACCATCCCCCAGGACAGAGCCCTGCTCCCATGAGCTCAGGGTGGAGTTCTGAGAGACAGGCTGGCTAAATCAGCTGCTGTGTGCAGGCATGGCTCCTTTCTCTGCTAAAGAGCCCGCCTGGGAGCCAAGCTCATCGTAAGTGTACGGGAAATACAGCGGGATCATCCAGCTGGTGGGAGAAGAGACCTGACTGATCGGAAGCCCTTGAGCCTGACCTCGCACCCTTATACTTTCTCAGTCCCCATAAGTCCCCTCACCTCCCTTTGGAGGTTTGTCTTTGCAGCATGACACCCTTGGGGACCTGAGGGTGTAGCTGCAGATTATCCTTAAAATCAACAAAATAGAGATGATTTCATTGAGAATTCCCACTGGGGGTAATAGTAACAGCCATCGTGGCCATAAGGAGAGAAGATCCAAATGCAGTGGTTCCTGGTGAGCATGCGCCGAGGAAAAGGACCTGCTATAGTAGGAGGGGTGCTGAAGGGCCTTCCCCACACAGAGGTGCAGAGGGTTGCACTCCAGGCACCTTCTGACACAGAGAGAGAGGTGGTTGTGGCTTCCCTTCTGGAAGGAATAGAAGTTTTGATTAAATGCCACTGTCATGTGACCCTGCGCAAGGGGATAAACAACTCGGTGACTCAAGTGTCTTCTAGTGATAGGTCATTTTTTAAAACAGAGTAGGCTCGGGGGACCAGCAGTTAGCATAATGGCTATGTTGCTGGACTTCCACGTAGTCGACCGTGGTTCGCATCCCGGACCCGGTGGCTTAAAACTCACGCCGGGCGCATGTACGTACGTGCCCAAGATCCTGAGAGGAGAATGGAGAAGGGATTGCAGTGTGGCCATCCCCCCTGGGGGGTGATTTCTCGCTTTCTGTCTCTCTGTCTCTCTCTGACTGGTGAGCACACGCGCCCTATAGCAAAAACCTCTAAAAAAAAAAAAAAAAAAAAACAGAGTAGGCTCGGAATGTCCTGGGAGAGCTCCTCCCATCTCTACTAGATACTTAATCTGGGCTTGGAGCAGACACATTGGGCCACACCTCGCATCTGCACGATGCCTTGCCTCTATGGATAGCACCATGGGAACTGCTCCTGGAATGGCAAGTCAGTTCTCTAAGATTTGGGGATTAGGACTAGCAGATGGCATAATGGTTACTTCACTGGACTCCCACGTAGTCGACCACCATTCGAGTCCCTTACCCGGCGGCTTAAAAAACTCACACCGGGCGTGTGTACATGCATCCCCAAGATCCCAACAGGAGACTGGAGGAAGAGGGATTATGGTGTGGCCATATCCCCTCCAGGGGTACGTTCTCACTGTTTTTCCGTCTCTGTCTCTCTGACAAGCACACGTGCCCTATAGAAAAAATCTCTCTCAAAAAAAAAGAAAGATTTGGGGGCAAGGCACATAAGGCAGCAGGAGAGAGAAAGTTTAAGCAGAGCAGTTCTATTCCAGTTATTGAGTATCCTTCTGGTTATATAACAAAAATTCACAGGAAGGAAAAGTCGGTCTGTATATCCAGGAAGCAAACAGCCTCACACCTTCACCCAGAACATGAGATAGACACAGATGGGACCAAAAACACTCACAGCCTACTGTAGTTACAGAAGGGGCTTAAAATGGAAATTATGAAAACAGGTCAGTCAAGGAAGGCTTCCCAGAGGTGGCGTCTTAAGTGGAGCCTATGCAGAGAACTAAGCAGCCTATTGGCGATAAAGAAGCAGCTTGCAGGAACCAGTCTGTGCAGCAAGCACTACAGCTTCATGGAAGTCAGATCATCAAAAGCTTCTGAAGACAGCCGAGCGGAGTGTGTTCTACACAGGGATGCGGGGGCATGTCCCAGCCTGACCCATGAGTGGAAGTAATTATGCTAGTTACGACAGCCTGAAAATGGCAGTGGATGTGGTTCACTTCTCCCCAAAGACCCACCCAGAGCCCAAAGTCTCTCTTGCTCCCACCCACCCCGACATCACTGCCAACATTTTATGCAAATACCATTGTCAACGTGTCACTCTTCTAGCCAGATAACAACAGGCTACCTGTTCTAGCAGAATGAGCTCCTCTCTTGACCTTTAATGTCCTCTTCCTCTGCCCTTTCCTTTCCTCCCTCCAGATTTGACCACGTCAGTGTTAAGACCCTGTTATTCCATCCAAGTCAATCTGTTTGCCATCATTTATTAGGAAGCTGAACAAAATGAATTCTTGAGTTTCTTCCACCCCAGGGGTTCTGGATGCCATGATGTTCCCCCACCCACTCTCACCCTCCCTTACCATAATCTTTGACAAGTTCTGCCTCTGAGACAGCGACCCACTCTGCGTCCTGGCCCTAGAATCGCTTGATCACTTTCCTCTCTACTCCACTTCAGCCACCCACTCCAAGGTCACACCTTGGATCATCACCAAGATCTATTCCTGTTGGAAGCTTAAACCCCAAAACCCCACTCTCCTACCACTTCCTAACACAACAGCTTTTTTCCTACCTACTTCCTAGTACAACAGCTCTTCACTCTTACAGACACTCCCATTATCTTGGCCTCTTCATTTTTCCCAATCCGTTAGCTCTCTCAGCTGCTTTTCTTGCTCTTCCCTGAGCATCATTCATTCATTCATTCATTCATTCAACAAATATTGTTTGAGCATCTATTATGTGCCAGGCATTGACCAGGTGATGGGGAAGGGTGAACAAAATTCACCCATGTGGAATGAAGGTCTAGTGATCATCTGAAAAGTATTCTAGCCAGCATCTCAGCTGCTTCAACCATCAGACTAAGTTCCATCTCTAAACCAAGGCTACAGACTTCCTTCCCTCTCCTACCACAGAAGCGGAGCACTTCCTTCCCCTTCCAACCACACGAGCATGTAGTCTGAGGCACAACAAAACCATGACCTCCACCCTCAGCTGGGTGTTAGTTTCTCGGTCAACATCTCATTCACGCCCCATACTTCCACCACTCTCCTCCAACCCATTCTTGATCCCTCCTCCCTTACCTCAGAAGATGACCTGGCTTCACCAAGAACACTGAAGCTGTCAGGAGTGATCTCCCCTCAGCATCCCTACTGTATCTTCACTCTGAGATGCCTTCACACTTATTATATCTTCTTTCTTCTTATACAAGGCCACAAGACAGCCTCCCTGCCATCTATTTTTTGCTTCATCAGTTACCCTTCTCCATCTCCTGTCCTCAACTCTGCTTTTCATGCTCAAGTGTTTCCCATCCTTAAAATCCCTCCATCAACTTCACATGTACAATGTCCACTTCTCCATATCCAATCAACTCCTAAACTCACAAACTCTGGTTCTGTATCTAACCCCAGTATTATGGGCATCACGCCCCTGAGAGTGCATCCCTCACTGACTTCGTAAGAGCCAAACCTAACAGACACCTTCAGTCCACATCCTTCCAGATCTCTGCTGCCATTGAAACATTCTATAAGCAACACCACCATATATAAGCCATTATTTTCAGTATCATTACAAGTTACTAATCTTGCACAAATTTTTGAAAGATTGTTTATTTAATTTTATTGGTTAGTATTATTTCCCAATTTGCTACAGGGCACATGCATTCACCAGAGAGAGACACAGAGAGAGAGAGGGAAAGTGAGAAAGCAAGCCTCTAGATCCAGGACTCGAACTGCGGTTGACCATGTGGGAGTTCAGCACCCCATTACACCATGTGCTTTCCCCAATTTGCACATATTTTTAATCCCTACATTCCTTAAATCTACAGGTCCACATAAATAGGTTCCTAGTCTTCACACTGGTATAATTAGTAACTTTCTTTTGGATGTAGTGGGTAAACCATGGGTAGGTCTGGTTTATCAGGAATGTGAATGCAGTGTTCCCTGCTGAGAGCATGTGTCCTGCCCAGCCCTTGTAGGCTGAAGTGAGGGCACTGGAGAGCAGGCTTAGGGAGGTTGTGATGTCACTACAGTCTGGTTCTAGAAAGGCAGCACCAACCTGCATTCAGGGGTGTGGAGGCAGACCAGACAGAGCCTGGGGACAAAGAGAGAGACACAGAGAGAGAGAGGGAAAGTGAGAAAGCAAGCCTCTAGATCCAGGACTCGAACTGCGGTTGACCTTGTGGGAGTTCAGCACCCCATTACACCATGTGCTTTCCCCAATTTGCACATATTTTTAATCCCTACATTCCTTAAATCTACAGGTCCACATAAATAGGTTCCTAGTCTTCACACTGGTATAATTAGTAACTTTCTTTTGGATGTAGTGGGTAAACCATGGGTAGGTCTGGTTTATCAGGAATGTGAATGCAGTGTTCCCTGCTGAGAGCATGTGTCCTGCCCAGCCCTTGTAGGCTGAAGTGAGGGCACTGGAGAGCAGGCTTAGGGAGGTTGTGATGTCACTACAGTCTGGTTCTAGAAAGGCAGCACCAACCTGCATTCAGGGGTGTGGAGGCAGACCAGACAGAGCCTGGGGACAAAAGAGATTCAACAACAAACTAGAAATAGTTCTCTTCTCCCAGATCTCAAGATTCAGCACAATGACCGACTGACACAGGGTCACTGGGGCTGCCTTGTCAGTTGTGCAAGCTGCGTCATGAATAAGAATTTCAGGCCAAACATGCCAAGCACACATGCAAGTGTCCAGGATCCAATGGGCTGGAGGAATACAGGAAGGGGATCATGACCTATCTCTCCCTCTCTCTCATTCACTCTCTCTCTCATACTTTATCATGAATAAAGAAATAATTGTTTACCAAAAATGTCGTGCACTCTGGCATAGACTGTGTCCATCCAGGAGAACATAGCATCTTTTACTTTACATAAAATGATATCCAGGACCAGCAGGTGGCATGGTGATTAAAGCACCAGATCCCACATGGTCAATTCTGCAGTTCAAGTCCTTGACCCAGCAGCTCAAAAACCATTCCAGGCATGTATACATGAGTGCATGCCCAAAATCCCTAGAGGAGAATGGAGAAGGGGTTGCAGTGTGGCCATCCCTCACCCAACCGCCCATCGCCCCCCGCCAGGGCAAAGGGGAATGACTTCTCACTTTCCCTCTATCTTTGTCACTTTCTGTCTCTCTCAGTCAAACATGCACTCTATAGCAAAACATCTTTAAAAAAGAAAAGAAAAAGATATCCTTTGCCAAGACATATGCCCATGGAGCTGTGACTGCATGGATTTCTAATCCACAAAAACACCACAGAAATCAACAAGATCTCAGAATACATTTGACACCAGGAGTCTCAAGGTGAGAAGCTATTAAAAAATCTTGTCTTTCCTTATAGCTAACTAGTCTTTGAATCAGTTGAGTCATTACTTAGCCAACAGTAGCAACACCACTCACATTCAAATCCCAGATCCCCACTTATTGGGAAGTGACCCTGGGTAAGTCGTTTAACCCGTCATCTTTTGGTTTCCACCTATGAGATGAAGAAAACAGGAATATCTACCTCATAGAGTTGTTATAAGGACTGAATTGTGTTTAGAACAGTTTCAGGCACACAGAAAGTACTCGGCACACCTCATGTCTTAGCTAACAGTGTCATCCCTATGTACAGTGACAGAAAATAATCTCTAGAACATCAGCCAAATGGCATACCCTCTTATCAGCAGGGTCCTGATTCTCCAAAGTTTGTCTATATTGCCACTGGTGCGTTGTGCCTCTTCCCTGTTTCAAAAAGTTAGGAGTGTGAGTTCATGCGTGTGTGTGTCCAGGTGTGTGGTGAGGAAGGCAGAGATTATAATCAGAACACTCAAGGGCATCAGCTCATTTCCAGAGGGAAATCTGCCTCAGCCCTATATTAAAAACCATACCTAAGGGACCAGCAAATGACATAATGGTTACATGGCTGGACTACCATGTAGTCGACTACTGTTCGAATCCCAGACCCGGCGGCTTAAAACTCACGCCAAGCACATGTGCGTGCATGTTCAAAATCCTGAGAGAACAGAGAAAGGATTGAAAGTGGCCATTCCCTCTGGGGTGGGGGTGGGGGTGGTGATTTCTTGTTTTCTGTCTCTCTGCCCCTTTCTGTCACTCTGGCGAGCACATGCGCCCTACAGGTAAAATCCCTCTAAAATGAAAAAAAAAATTAATAATTTTTTTTTAAAAAACCATACCTAATTCCAACTGACAGAAATGATTGTGCAAAGCTGAAAAGAGCAGTTAGAAATGCCTCAATTCTAGGTTTTCTCTGTCCTTCTCTAATACAAAGAATTATTGCCAGTCAGCTAAAACCCCACATCTTAATGCTACCTTCTAATGCAAAACTTGCATGAAATAAATTTCCAAGCGTTCACACATGGACGACTTGGCCTTCACTATGAGTAACTCCAATTTTAACAAGGCAGAACACCTGGCTCAAAATAGCCAAACAAGTAGTCTCAAAAGGAGGAGTGAGAGAAAGTGCTTTCTCACTTCTTTCCTAAGCTCGCTCTCTCTCTCTCTCACTCTCGCCCTACAGGTAAAATCCCTCTAAAATGAAAAAAAAAATTAATAATTTTTTTTTAAAAAACCATACCTAATTCCAACTGACAGAAATGATTGTGCAAAGCTGAAAAGAGCAGTTAGAAATGCCTCAATTCTAGGTTTTCTCTGTCCTTCTCTAATACAAAGAATTATTGCCAGTCAGCTAAAACCCCACATCTTAATGCTACCTTCTAATGCAAAACTTGCATGAAATAAATTTCCAAGCGTTCACACATGGACGACTTGGCCTTCACTATGAGTAACTCCAATTTTAACAAGGCAGAACACCTGGCTCAAAATAGCCAAACAAGTAGTCTCAAAAGGAGGAGTGAGAGAAAGTGCTTTCTCACTTCTTTCCTAAGCTCGCTCTCTCTCTCTCTCTCTCTCTCTCTCTCTCTCTCCCCCCCTCTAATCAAATTAAAATAAATAAATAAATAAAGTTAAATAAAAGTATTTCTTTGAAAATAAAAAGCTGGTGTGAGAAAGGAGTTCTAAGGCATACAATTACTAATTGTTCTCTCTATAGCCAGCAAAAGTACACTGAGGAAGATCCAGCCAGATCTGCCTGGAGGCAGAGAGGACAGTTAGGAGTTTACTCCTGCACGGATGTGCTAATAGGAGTCGTTCCTTCAATAAATCTAGACACTATAGTGGAGTCCTCAGGAATTCAGCCAGTGGGAGAGAGAAGGTCCAGAATGGACAAAGAAGAAAGGACAGTGGCTTGGAAGAGTGGCCTAATTAGCATGGAGATCCCTGCCCCTGGCCCAGCTTGGCTCTTGTGAGTATCCCAGGCAAGAGTTCACCACTATGTAGTTGGCAGTAAGCCAGGGAAGTTCATCCCCAATCCCTGCAGAGCTTTTTCACGAATTCTTCTCTATATACGGCGGATGTCCACTATACCTGGTTCTTTACCTCCAGGGTCTTCAAGGGTCTTTACTCTCCCTGGGCACCAGCTTTTATCAGAAGAGACAGCAGCCTCCTCCAAATATCATTCTCATGGAGATCTGCATGTAAAAGACATTGCAGTATATTTTTTAAACAAATGGTTAATTTTGTTAGTCTATAAGACTACATAAAGATTACTATGAAAGGGGCGATTAAGGGTGCTGGACTCCCACATGGCCGACTATGGTTCGAGTCCTGAACCTGGTGGCTTGCTTTCTCACTTTCCCTCTCTCTCTCACTCTGTCCTTCTCTGATCAGATTAAACTAAATAAAGTTAAATAAGACAATTCTTTAGAAAAAAAAAAAAGATGGTCAAATGAAAAAAAAAAAAAAAGAATACTATGAAAGACAAAGTGACCACCCAAAGAAAATATGAACTAAAATGAAGAGACAATTCATAGAAAATGAAAATTAAATAGCTAATAAGCATATGTATAACTGCTCACCCTCACTGGTAATCAAGGAAATGAAAAAATTACATAAAATGATAAATAATACCACACAGTATTCATAAGAATGGGGGAATAATGTCTTATACATTATTTGTAGAAGTATAAATTGATAAACTTTCTGAGGAGCAATTTGACCATAGGAATCAAAAACAAATATTTTTTTTCAAGTTTGCTACAGGTTGGGTGAATTCTCAGCAGAAAGAGAGAGAAAGGGTCCAGCAGGTAGCATGGTGGTTAAGGGCGCTGGACTCCCACATGGCGGACCACAGTTCAAGTCCTGGACCTGGCAGCTTTCTCTCTCTCTCTCTCTCTCTCTCTCTCCCTCCCTCTCTCCCTCCCTCTCTGGTCAAATTTAAATAAATAAATAAATAAATGAATAAATAAATAAATAAATAATAAAGTTCAATTTTTTTAAAAAGTGAGAAAGCATTCCCCAGGGTGGATGACCACAACATGATCCCTTGTCCTCCATTCTCTTCTTGGGATTCTGGGCACTGTAGGCACACCCCAATCTGGGACTCCAACCCTGCTGTTGGCCATGTGTCCACCAGATGACTTGGAAAATACACCAGGAGTTTGTATGTTGTGCCTCCAGCCGCCTTAACCTGCTGGCCCTGAACCAAAATGTTTAAGCGATCAAGGATTCCTTATCCAGGAAGTTACCTTAAAGAATGAATAGGACAAGTGTTCAGAGACATGGACACTTATAGTAGCAATGTTTTTATGGTGGAAAAAACTAGAAATAATACCTACATCAAAATGTGCTACACCCATATAATGGAATATTATGCAGTCATTAGAAATGGTCATCTCGGCCATGGTGACGGGGCAGGGCGGGGCGCCCCGCGGGCACAGCCAGGCCAGAGGCGGGAAGGGGGCGGGGCCGAGGCCTGCCGTGCGGATGCAGGTGCCGACTGGGGGCCCAGGCTGGTCGGAAGCCACCGCCGGCTCCCCCTGCTGGGATGGATGCCAACACGGAAGTGACGGAAGCCCCGGAGGAAGAGAGCATCGCATTCTCCATCTCTTCCGCCTCCGAAGCCGAGTTTGATGCTGTGGTTGGAACTATAGAAGACATTATCATGAATACCAAGTTCCAAGTACTGCAGAGAAACTTCATGGACAAATACTACCAGGAATTTGAAGACACGGAAGAGAATAAACTCACGTACACACCGATTTTTAATGAATACCTTTCTTTGGTAGAAAAATATATTGAAGCACAGCTGTTGGAGCGGATTCCCGAATTCAACATGGCCGCTTTCACAACGACTTTAAAGCACCGTAAAGATGAAGTAGCCGATGACATATTTGATATGCTGCTCACATTTACGGACTTCCTAGCTTTTAAAGAGATGTTTCTGGACTACAAAGCAGAAAAAGAAGGCCGGGGACTGGACTTAAGCAATGACTTAGTGGTGACTTCCTTGCGCAAAACACAATCTTCCAGGCCCTACGCCCGGAACCGGCTGCATCACTAGCTCCCGCCCCCAGGCACTGGGAGACCTCTGCATCAAGGGCTCAATAGGCTTGGAGAGACTTCTGCTTGTGACAGAAAGCATCTTGGAAGACTGTCCTGCAGCTCTTCATTACTGTTAATTATCCATGGGTCAAAAAAATAATTACCCTCCTTCTTGTATTCAGTAATCTTAGTGCTCCTGCCAAAGAAGACTTAACCTTTCTCTCGTGCTTCTGAGAGTCAGACTACTCTGGGACAAGCTTATGTCATGCATTCTACCTATGAGATCCCTTCTCCCAGCATACATATTCCTGTGTCAACAACACGGAAAATAACACCTTGACAAACCCTTTCCATCCCAAATACCACAGGCAGGCTTTGCATCAGTCTTCTGTGTTCACAACTCTTTCACTTGGGTAAGAATTACAGTCCATCAATGGACTAATTTACTGAAACCATCTGCCCCTCTCTCAGGATTTTTGAAACTGCTATTTTTGGCCCACCATTTTGGAGAAATGACAGCTAGTCTTCATAGTGAGAAATAAGTAAAAACAAGATATCCTTTATCCAAAAGCTACATGTGAAAAATCAACTGACAGTCCTGGGGTTTCAATTCTTTTGTCATTTCTAGTAGTTCTGATGTAGTCCTATTATTTCTTGAGAAACCTCTTTTTTAGCATAATTTTGAAAATACATTTTCATAGAACAACATTTAGTCTAATATAGTAGATCTAAGAATTTCTATGATTAGTCACTTAAAGATTTAAGTATTAAATGGTGTGTATTTTTTAGTTAATACTATAAAACCAAAAATGCTATCTATGTTGGAATTACTGTTTTATTGAACATCAATGAATACACACTATAGTCTGAAACAAGGCCGAACAATATCCTTTTCTTATAGCATGTTAAGTGTGCAGGTTTGCTTAAAATCCTTTCTGTATAAATCAGTATGTTAGGTTTTAGGTTGAGATGGCAATAAGTTTGGTAAAAATGTGATTCTACAAGTTCTACAAATCCAGCTCCTCCTTTCCAGTCAAAATCTCTCCTACCAAAATGTTGTTCTAGTTTGGCTCAGCCTGAGTAAGAGGAGAAGATAGAGTTCTAATGGCCATTTCCCTGGCTTTGGCTTAGTAAAATGTTCGGTAGACATTACTGACCAAAAAACATGAATGAAAGAAGAAAAAGTATAGGAATGTAATTCCCAATGTGTGCCTCAATTTTCTTTTTTAAGTAAAAATAACAATAGGCACTGAAAAAGAAAATGATGATCTCCGTCTATACTTCTGTTATGGAAAAATTTTTTATAAATTCCCTTCAAGCTGAACTGTAAAGTCTATGGGAGCAGAAAATGCAGATATTCTTTGCTCTATACTTGAGCCTGGAACCGGGTCTGGAAAACAGTAGGCACTCAGTTTAGTTATTAAATGACTGAATGGATAAATTCCACAATAACAATAGATTAAGTGAAAAATCAGGTAATAAAGAAGTATGTATTGTAAGACCTTACATATTTTTATGTATATAGACATATTTGTGTGTCTGACGTGTATGTATGAACATAGGAAAATGTCACAAGGGGTAGAATTACAGGTGATCTTTATTTTCTGTTTTCTTTTTTACTGAATCTTATGCATTTTTTCTATAAAAATAAGTATGTGTTGCTTTTTAACCTAGGAAAAGATCTTTAAAAGGACAGAAAGAAGAGTGAAGAATAAAGAATAAAAGATAAAGAATGGAAAATAAAGCAGCCCTTGCCACTAGGAGACAGATTATTAAATCCTAAAGACATAACTGGTAGGATTTCAAGTATCAGTTCGGAAAAGCTCCTGCCACCCCCTCTGACTATTTCTCACAGGTAAATACCTACTCTGTCTAGTCTGGCTACCTTCAAAGGCAAAGAGCTGCCTCAGTTCTGTCTTCAAATGGAAAATGGTTTTGAGGGATTTTGGAAGTCTAAAAAAGTTCAGGATTGTGAGTCTCCCATACACTTAGAAATATTCCACCCCTCCCCAGCCTGAGCTGACCTGAGACATGATGCCCTCACCCTGGAAGCTTCCACTACACTGCTCCACTCACATATGGTTTGGTCTCAGACTTGTCAGGAGCTTGAAACATGATGCTAGTCCTGGAGCAATCCTGGGATTTAGTCTGGGAAGTTGAGCCCTGTCCGCTTGCTCTTCCTCCATGTCACCCAGATACATTTCCCTTCCCATGCCTCTTCCAGCCTTCCAGCCTTCCTCTCTAACATGCCTTTCTTGACTGACCCCCTTCCCCAACTCAAGTATCCTTCAGTCTTTCACCACCTCCCTCAGTAACCCTTGCCACCCTCCCTTCTCATAAAAGCTTGCAGGAAGAGCCTAGGTTCTCACTATCAGCATTCAGCTTCCTTTTGCCTTGGAATCTGACCTGTTCCATCTCCCATTCTGGCTGAAGGGAAGAGGGTCCCTTCCTCCTCTTTTTTTTTTTTTTTTTTTTTTTTCTTAGGTTTTTGCCAAAGGGCATATGCACTCACCAATGATCCACCCCGGGGAAGGGCCACACTAGAATCCCTTTCAGACACCCCGGGGAAGGGCCACACTAGAATCCCTTCTCCTCCATTTTCCTCCTGCGATTCTGGACACATACACAGACTTGCTCAGTGTTATTTTTAAGCCACCAGGTCCAGGATTCAAACCGTAGTTGGCCATTTGGGAGTCCAGAGCCTTAACTACCATATCACCTCCTGGCCCCTCTATTCATTTTTTAATTGACCACCAAACTGTCACAGAGTTACCCACTCCCCCCATAAAGGGCCCTGAATTAGCATCTGGGATCCAACTCTAGAAGAGATGGTTAAAGAGACTGAAGCAGATGTCATCCCCAAACCCCGCTGCTCCAGCCTAATGAGAAGCTGGGTTAAGTCAGGCAGTCATATCTTTCCATTAACTGGGTAACACATGGAGCAGAGCTACAGGGTCTTTCTAGAGGTTGATGTTTTCTTGCTATGTCTCTGAAAGACCAGTAAGGGCAGCAGTTCAGAACTGCCTGCCCCTGCTCAACGTACCCAGAGCTGTACCAAAGGTAAGTGGTGAAAGGAGCTATCTCCTCTTGCAGGCCTTGAAAAAATGAGCAGAATTTATTGACCTTTCAAGTACAGGACCTTTAAGATGTCTCTTTCTCTTGAGACCAGGGATGCTATACAAGGGGACTTCATAAAATTTGTGGGGGAGAATATGGGATTATAGTACAGTTTATTCTGCTGCAAAATTTTTTTAATTCATGCAGTTTTTTTCATTATATGTATCTTTCATGAAGTTTTGAAAAACCCTTGTATTTTGGAGATCAGATGGGGTAAGCTAAGGCCCATCCTGGGCTCAGGAATACGAAGACCAGGGCCTGGTATTGTCCTTGGGCCAGCCGACAAATATACAGGTGCCCTTTCATTAGTCTATCCCCCTGGATTCTGAGGAGTAGTACACAGTCTAGTGACTTACAAATCATTATTTTACCATGCTCAAAGGCATACAGAGGGACTGGCTGGGAGGCTGGGGAAAGGAGCACAAACCTTAAAAGTCGTCTCCGTGAAGCTCTCAATTTCATGAGTTTTCCTCTGTGACCACCTCATTATCCCTATCCTCCCCAGACATGGGGCATAACTTTCTTTTCTTTTCTTTTTTTTGGGGGAGGTTTTTGCTATAGGGCATGTGCACTTGCCAGAAAGAGAGAGAGACATAGAGACAGAAAGCAAGAAATCACCCCCCAGGGGGGATGGCCATGCCACAATCCCTACTCCTCCATTCTCCTCTTGGGATCTTGGGCATGCACGCACATGCTCTCAGAGTGAGTTTTAAGCCACCGGGTCCAGGACTCGAACCACAGTCGACTACATGAGAGTCCAGTGACATAGCCATTATGCTAACTGCTGATCCCATGGGTTATAACTTTCTGAGAACTGCTGGGAAATGCTGGCCTAAGGGCCATAGTGCATCATCCCTGCACATACATCTGGAATACATTTCACTAGTGTTTAACAGTTCCACCCTCTTTGCTGATTGGTGAGACGGGAAGGAAGAGCTGCTCATGCAGAGCAGTGCCCATCCACCACCAGATCTGGCTGCCCGTTGCAAGCTATATCCTGCTCTCCTGTGCACCCTAGGGGTCAGACCCTATATGGAAGACCGTGGGAGCCCTGTATTGCCTTTGCCCAGGTGGGAAATCTAGCCTAGGCCTGAGGTCCTGTGTAGGAAGCTCATTCCACCTGAAGTGTAAATCACTTCCTCTAGTATTTGCTTTGTTGGTAATAAAAGCAATATTGGCCCTCCACTTGCAGATTCTTTTGTTTATTTGTTTTTTTAAGAATTATTTAACTTTGCTTATTTTACTTTAATTTGATCAGATAGGGACAGAAAGAGAGAGAGAAAGAATGATGGAAAGTGAGAAAGCAAGCTGCCAGGTCCAGAACTCAAACCACAGTCAGCCATGTGGGAGTCCAGCACCTTAACCACCACGCCACCTGCCCTCCCCTGTTTTATTTTTTTAATTGGCTCAGAACCTGGGCAGGGAGAAGAGGGTGTTATATACTAAACCCTTTGAACCAAAGGAGTTGTGTCTATAGAAAGAATTTTCTCTGTATCTGGCTGGGATGGGGATGAGCTGAAGTTCCAATAGAATCTGTTCACTTGATGAACTACAGAACCCTTTAAACTGGATCACAGAGGTCTGCTCAGAGGCTGGAAGATGGATGGATTGATCTCCTTGGGAGTGGGGCAGGTCCCCACTTAACATAAATACTCTTGAGCAGACTTGTTGTAGGCCCAAGCAAATGGATAAAGGAGATGCTAAAACTACTTAGCGTAATTTATACCCACTACTGAACTTCTGGAAGAACACACACACACACACGCATGATTTACCTCTACTCTTGGGCCTTGGTCTTCTCTGTGACCTTGAATGAAAGCCAAACACCAGAATGTGAAATACAGTGCTGTTTATTGAGAAAGGAAGGTATGGCATAATCATCACCAGAGGACCCACAGCTCAGGAGATTAAGGGGCAGAGGTGAGTCAGGATATGATGTCCACAGGTGGGGAGGACTCGCCAGAAACCAGCAGACTGGAGATCTTGGCCATCCATCCTCCAGTATTGACCTCCCTGTGCCGCCCTCCTCAGTCAGTGCTGAGATGTGCTGGCTTCAAACCATCATCTCCCGTGGAAGAGATGGGCCAGAGTGGAAACAGACCAGGCTGAGAAGGCACAGACTGGCCTGGGCTCAGGTGGTGTCATCCAGAGGCAGGGGTCATCACAGGGACTCTTCCAGGGTCATCATCATCCCAGACTAGCAGCCGGACTTGGGGGTGGAGGATCGAGGGGTTCAGCTCCTTCTCCAGGGAACTTGAGGAAAAGCAGAGTTGAGCCATACGCATCTGTTGATGCCAGGCAGAGAGTGGGAAGTGCTGTTGTAGGCTCAGAAGGAAGCAGACGGGCAAGCAGATTTGGCCCAGTGGATCACTTGGAGTAGTGCTGGCTTGAGCTGGTGGTCTGGGAGAAGCGGACACTGGTGCTGCCCCCACTACCAGACTTGTAGCCACTGCCTCCTGAGGTCTGGACGCTGCTGGGGCTGCAGCCCATTCCACTCTGGCTCACAGAGCTGCTGCCTCCAGTGCCCACCCTGCTCTCCCTGCTGCCACTCTGG